AACATGGATTTTTGAAGGTAATTATCACTGTGAGTATTATTTTTCGTCTAAAAATTGTCGGAAACTTGAGAAGCTTTTCAAAAAATTAGGATAAAACATCTATTCATTGCCCTCAGATTTTCAATTACTTTTCACTGACTAATATCGTTCCATAATAAAACACCCCAAGAGACTTTTAGCAAATGTTAGGGTCAGAAAGTGACTTGTTGCACTTATTGAACGGGCAAGACATTAAGAGAGAGAGAGAGAGACTATTTTTTTTAGCACATACAGATCTCAAATAATATTTTTTCAAGGTAAAGCTTTGTCACCTCTAAGAGATTTTACAGTTTGCTGCTGTTTTCTTTCTCTCTTGCTTTGTGCGCTTCGACTGAATAATTGAAACATTTGGTCAATTGATCAGCTTCATGTTATGTTTCATCACAGTTACAGATTTCATCTCCTCTTGTGATTCAGTGAAGGATACACAGTATCAGGAGATGGGTTTTATTTTTATTTGTGATCACTTCTCGCTAATGCATACATTTACATGTTTATGTTTACGTGTTACCTTAACTGATCACTTAAATAAATGTAATTAAATTTCAAAGTCGTTGAAAAGTATACTATTTGTATGTTTCATGGAAAATTGTAAAATGCACTGAAACGTACCCATTCAACTTGTTTAAATCTGCATTGACATTTGAAACATCAAAAATATCATTATCCAAATATGTACACTTTGAAAGTATTTTCTTAATTCTCTCCTCCTGTGCTGTTATAAAAGTAGTAGTATTAACAGAGTTTGAGTTCGTTGCATCAAAATCTCAATACCTACTAATAAGCGGTCGATACAATTGCCAAAACACAATAACTAATAGTTTTTTTCGTGTGTATACTTGTGTTCATGGACACATTTTGAACATGACTACCTAAAGTATCGTTGATTCTCTAAAGAAGCTTAACAATTTCAACTTGTGATCAAAATACTGTAAACACTATGATAATCTGTTTCTTTTTGCACCGATGAAGAGTCTAGTGTATCACTGTGTTATGAATAAATATTTACGCGCAAGCATAAGTTCTTCATAAAGCTGTGATGTTTTGGTTTCTGGTAGTTGGGATTCAGTCAATAGCTAACGGATTACTACCCCACTTTATCTACCACGGTTTGATCTGTTAGACAGTATCACCAACCCCTACAAAACAGTTATGGCTCATTTCTTAGTGTACGAAACTGTAACGAATTGCATTTCATTTCAATATTTTGAGCGAAATTACTACACATGGTCGCACTAATATTGTGAATTTTATTGGTGTGAATTGTAATTACAACCACTTATTATCATTGGGAGTGATTTTATTTCAAATATTACTTGAATAAAAAAATCTTACTACCAACTTATGCCGACTAATTACCATATATATACACCAATATTGGACTTGAGATTGCATTTTTAGTTCGTATCTGTTGGTCAAAGACTTTGGAAAGATTACTAATTTGTTAGCTGAGTGATTCGCTACGGAACCCGTACTTACAACTCATTGATTACGTAATGGCTGTGTACTTACTATCACTGTGCATTCTGGAGACTGTGCCAACGTATACATCATCTTCGAAATAAACAAACAGACAGTTAAAAATTAGATTTAATGCTTACGTAAATGTAACGTGTGTTTAGTATTCATACCATTGCTGAACACAAAATCGATCTTATAGCCGAAGATAAAGTGAAAATAGTGTGGAAGAACAAGAGTGCAGGTAATGCTTAAGTGCAGTGAAATATATATTTTCTTTAGTGTTCGTAAGAATAATGAGGATATTTTGCAGCTGCGATGTCATTATGCAAACAAAATATAGCAATCAGGTTCGAAAAACAGCATAACTTATCTGTTCTTGATTTCTGTCATTATGATTGTGGTATTTTGAATTCGGCTCTAAGCGTCATTTTGTCGGACGTATAATTCTGTTGGAATGAATTTTTTCAGAGTTTGCAAAAGTTATGTACCTCTTTTGGACTCAGTAACACGTTTAAACCAAGATCCGATTACCTATTAAGGGTCAAGTTTACTGTGATGCAATTCCCTCTGTCCTACTTTATCACTTCGGAGCATGTCCATTAGAGGTAGAGAACTTGAGGAGGCTCCCGGTGTTTGATCACCATTCCCTTCGCACTACAGATTGTATGTCGTGGCGTCATAACATCAGCAACGTTGAAGTGAGATGTAGAGTTTTACGAAGAAGAAGAAAATCAGTCGATAAGATTTTGAACCTTCGTCGACTGAGGTAATTGTGACATGTGTTACGCATGCCTAGTCACTATCTGCCTCATCACACAATGTTAGCTGAAGTAGATTCACACTAGGAAACAGGTTATAAATTGCTAGATTGTAGGTTGGGGTCAGCACCGTTGGTCATAACAGCGTTGGGGTCGGCATGACAACAGAAACCAGTGGTTGAAGACGCAAAGTGATATGGATGAAAATCGATTTCTGTGGTGCAGACGTATTCACGAATTATCTTCATCATTTTAATTATCAAACTGAATTTCAGTTTTTTCCATTCCTTGTTGCCCTTTTTTGAATTATTTTCTACCACTTTTAACTACTTTGTTTATTTCTTTACCTTTCATCTTAGTTCATTTTCGCTTGATCTGTAGCAATGTGAAGCACTAGATAGTGATACCTGGTTTTATATTGATTTTAATTGTGGCTTTGTGAGTCGTAATATACTCAGTATTCATTGGTTCTCAACATTTATCTCTACCAATATTGCATACCAAGCGTTTACCCAAAACAGCGAGTCCTCAAGAACAGCCTAATCATAAACTAACGCATGCTTGTAACTCAGTTATGTTCATCTTGGTGACTAGTAGTGGGATTCAGGGCCCACTTCTTGTCCTATTTGGGACTCGTCAGCTGGATTTACCTGGACCCCAGTGGGTAACGTTCTTCACACTGAGGCTCGAACCCAGTACCCACCCCTTCAAACGTCAAAACTTTAACCACTAGGCTGAGATTAAAAAATAACTTGATATTCTGCATGTTTTAGCATTTGATAATTTGAATTTTCGATTACTCAGTAAGATAAGTTCAATGACATACTTCAGAAGTTTGATTCTCTTTTCCTATCAAATATCTACTCTTTGGAACACTACATTCGAAAGATCTTTTCATCTAGCTGTTTAACTGACGACTAACTTCTGAAAATAGTGGATGGTTTACAATATCTACCTGAATATATATTCAGCAAGGAATGAAAATCTTTTTCTTGTAGTAGGTACAGTATGTTAATCAACGCCTAATACTAATAAGCCTAAAATCGAGAATGTTAGAAAATTTCTTTTAATCAACTAATAAGACACGCATACTGAGATGATGCAAAATATTTGTAGCTCATTAGAACGATTCTGATTTTGTGTTCTCTGAATAGGATGGTTGAATCGTGAAGCTTTCACTGTTATTTTAAAATTGTCATCAGTGAAAACTTCAGAAGAAGTGAGCTGTGAGAATTCCTCCATAAGTGAGCAATCAGGTTGTCCTGATAAGCTGATGTGATCGGTTATTTCTGCATTTATGTTGTCACTCTTACTACACTTATTCCTATTGAATTTCATGTTGACATGATCTCCAACCTTCTAGTCGTTTCTCGTGTCTCTCAGGGGTCGATAGATTAGGTTAATGCGGAATTCTTGGACAAACAAAGTAAGAAGGATGACGGGAAATTTTTAGACTTTGCCCTCAAGTCAACCAATAGACACTGTCCCAAGTATCAAGCAGTAAATGACTAGGTAATCGCAAGAAAGTCTGAGATCCTTTCAACATGATGACCAATAGAAATAAGTGTGGTGACAAATGACAGTGATAACGCAGAAAACATTACATTTAGCAGTGGTTAAGCACAAGTAGTACTTAATCATTACCTACATGTTCATAATATTGTTTTCATCTGTCAAATTACTCAATACGAGTAGCTGAACAATAAACGTCTACAATAAACAATAGATTATACTTAGATATACTGGTTGGTCAAAAGCATGAAGCATCTGTTATGAAATACGTATGTACACTTTATTCGTTCGTGTAGATCAGTTAGTAAATGGTCTAGCCGAATGCGTGCAGGGTTGCTGCTTGGACTGCACAAAGATTTGAGTTTTATCGTAAATATTAGTTCCTCTAATCAAGACCATGAGTTTAATAGTTGTTAAGGCTTACGAAACCGATTTGAAGTCTCTCATTGGCTAACCATCAAGCTGTATATTCAATAGGACACTTAAAAGACTTCATTTGGAGCTGAAAAATATTGTTCTCGCCTATACCTCCTACTTAAGGTTAAATAAACAATTATCAGCCAGTATTTCAAATATTTCATTTTATTGGCTTGTTTTTCCCATTGTTCCTCCAACCTATGTCAGTCTACGATGAATACCAACTTGCAATACCTCTAAATTCCTACAAACCCCTCAAAATCCAATTGAACTGGTGCTCATGGGTGACTGGCTTCGAGAGATGATTCCAGAAGTTCCAGTGAAAAGTTGTGACCAGTGGGCCAAACCTGATGGCCGTGAAGACTAATACTCAACGATGACAGTGGGTGGTGGTCGTGAACTGACAGAAGTTGGAAATATGGACCATTGGATTCTGACCCAGTGGCTCAATGGTAGCGTGCTGGCCACGGGACCTGAAGGTCGCGGGTTGGATCCCTGGTGGTGCGGGGTCGAGGGTACGCACTGCTGTGGAGTCCCATAGTTGGACTAAACAGCTGTCCAGTGCTCCCAGGTTCCCGTTGTTCTTCCAACTGATATCAGTCTACTATGAAAACCAACCTGAAAATTTTTACTTGAGTCAAGAGGCCTTTTTCACTACATATTGCAAAATTTTCCTTCACCGTTGGGAATTAATCACCTCCCGAACAAACCATTCACAGGATAAAAAATGAGTAACTAGCGAATTTACTTTATTTCAAGAAATTACAGCAAACAGAAGTATGTGTGTGTGTGTGCAATTCAGTTTTTAAAAAATCAGCGATCGCTCAGTGCTAGTGCATTTAAATCACACTCTAATTGCTCTATATTACTTGATGAATTACTCCATAGCTTAGTGTAGGCAATTATAAACATAATTACGCTCAACTAAAAAATGACCATTGAACGTTGACAACATTAAAACATTGAGACACCAACACAACAAAAAAGTAACAACAATAAATAATTTAAGCGGGAGAAGGGAACAAAGACGAAAATGTAAAAGAGTGGTTAGTATTTTCCTTGATCAAAGTGTAGAAATGATAAGCATACAATATGAATATTAATTACGCAAGAAGATTTTGCGATCACTTCCCTCATACTGAAGTAATTTCTTATTAAGCGTCTTATGTAAAAGATGTATTCAAAGCATATTTACTTGCAACATCTTAGTAAACCTTGAGGTCGATTCTTCCAAGACGTTAGAAGCTGATGGATAACATTTAATCGTGAATCTAACATTCTTGCTCCACTGACGTCATGTTAATTTTATAAGAAAGTTCTAAAGGCCTGCTGTAGTATGTCAGGCTTCAACCACTAACGTTCTCACTTTCACTTTTTTGTCAGATATTGAAACAGATTCATTGATGTCTACTTTTAAGGTTTAGGATGAACTCATATTCTAAGTGATGAGAAAAGCGATTTAAATCAATCAGTTGGAAATCATACTACTGAAAATCATCATTGGTAGTTATGGAATCAATTCCACCAATCTAAAGTCTTAAGCAAACAGCTCAACGTGGTATTTGCGGTATATGAAATCAGCCCATTCTTTAATCTTATGGATAAGGTATGGTAGTATTTTGTTATCATACAAGGAAACCTTTTGTCTTCAAACTATATAGAATAGTAGTGGTTTTATTAATGGATCTAAAAAACGCTTAATTTTCATTTCACATTAAAGTATTATCAATTAATGAATAAATCTAGCTTCTTACTGATAGTGCTTTTAGGTTCCATTCCTCAGATATCTGTAGCAATATTGTTGAAAGTCATCACTTCGGTGGACTGTGTAATTTATGTATAGCATAGAAAGTGCTTAACTTACTGTTTGTCTAAGAATTGTGACAGTTCCCGTTGTTCCTAAGCGAGATGTGCCTGAATTCGACCAACGGGAAACACTAAAACTCAGAATTCAATACTAATCAACATGAGGTATTCCTAACTTCCAGAAAGTTGAATCCCTTTGTAGATAAGTAGTCATACTTATCAACTGCATCGCTAAAGACGCTATTGCACTTATAGACTGTTTAAATGATGAATATATAAGATTATAACACCAAATACACAGTAAATAGTGTTATACAATCAGTAGTAGTGATGAATAAGGTCACTAAACAAAGTTGTTTTAAAGAACTTAACAAAACCAAACTGAAGATATAAATAAGAGACTGATATTTTTGAAGAACATTGTGTAAATGATAGTCTCTGCAATTAACAAACAAAAGCTGTTGATCAGTTGAGTAACAAGGTTTCTACTACCTTTGTACCCATTGCAGTAGTGTGCCCATCACTTTACTGTAAATGCTGTAGTCATCTACTAGAATCGACTAGTATAAAATTATTTTATATCAGCTTTATAAACATATTTTAAGAATAAATGCTTAAAAGATTGAAAATATCATTAGTTCAATCCTCATCTAATATCTCATATGTAATACTTTCTCAACACAGCCTAAAATGTTCTGATTCCTATATAGAACTCAAAATTTGTATACTGGTCAGGAAGTAGTTATTCAAATCCCCTTGGCGTTTTACTGCACTTCAGCCTATATAGTTTCTTAAAGAAAAGTTATACATTCCAGTTATGAGCTATACGTTGTCAGTTGGTATTTATTAACACAACTTTTGGTTATATACATGTATAGCAAAAAATTATTTAACAAATATTTTCACTAGAATAATCAACCAGTTAAGTAATAGATATGTTTACCTCTTCAAAGTTAGTCTGCTGAATCTTCGCCAGTTGGGTATCAATTTCATTGAGACGTTCATTCAATTCACGAGATTCGTGATAAGTGACCAGACAACGTTCTCCAGGACGTATTCCATCTTCTGATACCTTCATTAAATGTACCGTAAATTTCATAATATTTTAATTCCATTTCAGTCTGTTTATTAGAAATATCACATAGCAAAACAGTAGCATTTACTGAATAATTTTCCAGACATAATTTATTGTCCATATTCAAATCAGGTAACTAACTCCACAACTTCGAGACAGGGTTTACATAGTCCTAACTTTCTCTCCTTCTGTGTGATGACAAGGGTAGTAGAATTTCCAATATATATCTGGGACAGGTGTGGAATCATTTCTATTACTGCATGTATTTGGTGTTGATTCGATTAACAAAGATTCTGTTATTGATCTATCCCTCCACCCAACTGAGTTAGTTTTTAACGCTGTCACCCTATCCCACCTTACTGTGTAATTGTGTAATTGCGTGCAGAGCTATAGCCGAGCTTTTTCGAAATTTCTTATCTTATTAGGGTCTACTAGTCTTGGTTCAGCTTGGCTTTTGTGCTCTTTTATTTTAAGTGACCTTGGTCAACTACTTTGACCTATGCATTTGACCTTGCAGTCATTGCAAGGGATTTGATAAACGAAATTATTTGGCTTAATTGCATCGATAGGATCTTTTAACCTACAAAGCTTGCTTCTAAGCGAGTGTTTTGTTTGAAATGCCACTCTAATCCCAGTCTTAATGAGAATTCTTCAATAAATAAAATCAAAATTAGTAGAAAAGACTAAAAAAAATACTCTGCATGCGGTTAAGTAAGCTATTAAAATCCACCTCAGTTGTGGGAATCTAGTACTGCGCAGACTGTAAGATTAACTTTGAAGAATAACTTAAGTAACATCTAAACAAAGTCTGATTGATTTTCTGCAGAAGAACCCGATAGGGTACGCTGTTGGTTTACGAACAAAACCAAAGTTTTATTTTAAGTGGTTTTGTGTAAACGTCGAGAAGAATATATATATATATATATATATATATATATATATATATATATATATATATATATATAATTTGTCCCTTGGTTTCCTTGTGGAACATAGGGCTTCAGTAGCACGTCTCCATTGCACTCTGTTCTCTGCAAACTTTTGAACCTGGCTCCACAACAGCCCAGAAGCTCTCATTCCTTCCTCGCACGATCTCCATGTCACCCTCACCTCGGATACCCAACTCCTCGCTTCCCACCTGGGTTCCACCCGAGTGCCTGGGGCGTGATGTCCCCAGTCGGCCTTCTCAATGTATACCCAGTCCATCTCCACTTCCTTCCAGTGCATATTTGTTGAACGATGGGTTCTTGATTGGTTTGTTGCCCGGCCAGAGTTCCTTGTTGCTCATTCTTATTTTTCTGGCCATCTGAGCTTCAGTAACGAGCGTAGGCAATTGTTGATGAATGTCTGTAGTTTGTTGGAAATGCTTTTCGTAACGCTCCAAGTCTCTGAGCCAAACAGAAGCACTGACTTGACGTTGGTGTTGAAAATCGAGATCTTGTTACACATGCTGAGTGTAGAAGATCTCCACACTGATTTCAAGCTAATGAAAGCCTGTCTTGCTTTCCCGATCCTGGTTTTGACGTCGTCATCTGTGCCACCTGTAGTCGAAATATGCTACCCAGGCGGGTAAGTAAAAGAGGCTACTTCCTTTAAGTTCTTCCCGTTGAAAGTGACTGAAGCTTGTTGTTGTTGGTTGAATATCATCATCACTGCTGTCTTCTCTATGTTCACTTGAAGTCCCGTCTGTTTGCCCTACCCCTTCTGTCAACCTGTTACTTTTTGCCTGTAGGTCGTCGAGTTTGTTCGACATTAGACATAAATCGTCATAGGCGAAATGCAAATCTTCTAGGATCTTTTGCCCAGTCCGGCTTATGCCTTTCTTCTCGCCCCTCACTGTTTATTGCATGATCCAGTCAACCACAATTAGAAAGATCATTAGCGATAGTAGGTGGCAGCCTTGTCTTACTCCTGTATTCACTTCAAAAGCATCACTGAGCTTCCAATTGTGCATTACTTGGCGTGTAGCGTCTTCATATAGTTGCTGAACGAGGTTGATAAAGGTTTGTGGTATTCCATAGTGTTGAAGCAGCAGCTGCCTGGAAAATTACTTCTCCATCAATGCTGTCAAAGGCCTTCTCAAAGTCGATGCATTTGAGGTAGAGGGTTGACTGCCATTCCATACTCTGTTCTGTGATGATGCGAAGCGTTGAAATTTGATCCGCACATGATTTGTACTTCCTGAATCAAGCCAGCCTGTTTCAGTCGTAGTTTTGAATCGGACGCATCTTTTAGTCTCTACAGGATTATGCGGCATAATATCTCGCTTGGGGTGGATAGGAACATGATTCCGCGCCACTTCTTGCAGAGACTTAGGTCTCCCTTCTTTGGGAGTTTGACAAGGTAGCCCTTCTTCCAGTTGGCAGGTACATTTCCTTCCTTCCTTCCTTGCAAACCTTCTGCAATAGTGGTGTGAGTATGTCCTCTGTTGTCCCTGCATCTGGTCTCAGTGCTCCTGGCGGGATTCCATTTGGTCCTGCTGCTTTCCCGTGTTTCAGTAGCTTTATGGCGTCCAGGACTTCTACTTTTGTCGGAGGGCTTATGTTCACTGGTAGTTCTGTCTCTGCTGGTGGTATTTCTGGACGAGTTGCAGGTGGTGGTGGTGGTGGTCGATTCAAGAGTTTTTTTGAAGTGGTCAGTCCATCGTTTCCTTTGTTTCTCTTCCTTGGTAATTATATTTCCTTCATCACCTTTTATTGGTTTCACCTGTGTTGATCTCTTCCCAGATAGTAACCTGGTTATTTGACATGATGTTGTCAGGTCTCTCTTACCTGCATCCTGTCCTGCTTAACTTGCCAATGTGTGGTAGAAGTGTCTTTTGTCTTTTCGCGCACTCTTCTTCACTTCTTTGTCCAATGTAGTGTTTTATACATTGTACTCAGTCCCTTTTCTCGTTGTTCATCCTTGCACTGGTTTATCTTCTACTTCATCATCCTCCTCTCCTCTATCAGCTTCCATGTGTCCATTGAGATCCATTCTTTATCTTCTTTTTTCTTTCCTTTCTTGATACGTTTATGCAGGTTTCTTTCCACATCTATTTCAAAGAGTTCCAGTGTTCATCCACACAGTTTTATTCAGGGATGCTGCTCGAAATCTCCCATTTTGTCTTGATGGCTAATGTGAAAATGTCTTTTGTAGTTTTGTCCTTCAGTTTCTAGTTGTTGAACTTGAAGTGTGGTGTATCACCAACTTCTGTGAAGGCTTTCAACTTTATTTGAAGTTAGGTTCGTTGCACTAGATAGTGAGTAGTGTGAACCTACATCTGCTCCTCTTCTTGACCTTATATCCAGTAGGCTGTGTCTTCATTTACTTGAGACTTAGTTAAAGTCGATCTGATTTTTAGTGTGTCCATCTGGTGAAATCCATGTCGCCTTGTGGATATCCTTGTGTTTATACTCACTGGTTCCAATCACCAAATCGTTGAATGCACAGAAATCTGCAAACGATTCTGCATTCTCGTTCATTTCACCGAGCGCTTCTCGACCCTTGGTTACTTCTCCTCCTGTGTTGTCTGCTCCTAGTTTGGCATTCATGTTGCCTATTAGAATTTTGATATCACCAACTGAGGTCCTGTCTATTGTTGATTGCAGCTGTCTGTGGAGTTCCTCCTTCTTGTCTTCATGTGCGTTATTTGTAGGTGGATGGCGTATCATTGTACGATTGTGACTTTCCTTCCTATTGAGTTGAACCCTGCTGTGATGATCGTGGAGGAGATTGGTTCCCACTGCATGAGAGGCTTCTGTGCTCTTGGAGACATCATGATAGCCACTCCAAAACTCAGTGTGCTCGTGGTAGTCGTCTGGTTGACAGTATCGGAGTAGATTATTGACTCCTCTCCGGTTGACAGTTTGTAGAGTCCACTTCCATTCCATCTGCTTTCGAAAATTCCTATATATATATATATATATATATATATATATATATATATATATATATATATATATATATATATATATATATATATATATATATATATATATATATATATATATATATATATATATATATAATCATCTCACGAGTGATACAAAGGAACTCATAATCGTCTTCCTTACTAAGAACGATGATTGAGAGCAAAATGAAAACCTCGGTTGCGGTATATTAAATGCTGTATCGACTGAACTAAGGGGTTGAGAACTGACGTGTCTTGAAGCTCAGTTTTTTGGAATGTTGCAATCTTAAGATCACTTGCTATTATCCTGTTGCAACATAAGTTTGACAGCACAGATTGAAAAGACTGGAAACATTGACTTCTCTACCTTACCACTTTCGTTACTTCACCAATACGGCCATTAGTGAAGTTCCAGAATGGAAATAAACTTAGAGATATCCATCCGCCTGTTCAACTCAGTTATCTGTACTGAACCAGCAACTTATGTTTGACAATACTGCATTTCAAGGCGAAAATTCTGGAGGAATATCTGGAAATCAACATCAGCAACCTGCATTTAGGGTATGGCGAAACTCTCAGGTGAGGGATATGGAAATTGAAGGTACGATTCGTAGCAAACGTCAGCCACTTAATGAAGCTATGATCTTGCGATGACTTAGGTGAATACTGCCATATCGAGAGGAAATATATGAGGCATAGTTTTTAGCGTAACCAGAAATGTCTGAATTTCTTATCCAAAATTGTCGAAATGTAAGAAATTAACGAGCGTAGGCAGTTGTGTCTGCGCTCGTTACTGAAGCTCAGATGGCCAGAAAAATAAGAATGAGCAACAAGGAACTCTGGCCGGGCAACAAACCAATCAAGAACCCATCGTTCAACAAATATGCACTGGAAGGAAGTGGAGATGGACTGGGTATACATTGAGAAGGCCGACTGGGGACATCACGCCCCAGGCACTCGGGTGGAACCCAGGTGGGAAGCGAGGAGTTGGGTATCCGAGGTGAGGGTGACATGGAGATCGTGCGAGGAAGGAATGAGAGCTTCTGGGCTGTTGTGGAGCCAGGTTCAAAAGTTTGCAGAGAACAGAGTGCAATGGAGACGTGCTACTGAAGCCCTATGTTCCACAAGGAAACCAAGGGACAAATAATAATAATAAGCAATTAACCGACCTGTAACATGTTCCACTGGTAGCCAAATTTTGTTGTGTGCAGAATCAGTTGGAACTTATAGATAATTTTTTACAAAAGAAACATTTTAAATATGTTAAAACCGCTGAAGGGTGGAAAATGTGAATCTCAGATTAGCGTCATTAGTAGTATTATGTTGTTTATTCTAAAAGTCGTTTTACTTATGACCTAATCGGGAACACTGTTGCATATCTCGTTTCAAGAGCTTTCGAATGACCCCCTATTCATTTATGTAAAACTTATGGTTCAGAAATAATAGTATGTTGGGTGAAATTCGTTGTTGTACATAATCTCATTTTCGTGCTTGAAACCGGTAGCCTTATCCTCATAAATTATAGTGTGTTGGTTGTATATACATAGGAATCAGGTTGCCAGAGGTATATAGACAATAAGCACCATATTTTGTGTTCTGTTGCATACTGTTTGGGGGTCGGAATTGTGTGACTCATCTTGTTGGCGAATTAAGTGTAGGAAACTGTGCAAATAATTTAAAAACCAATCACTTGCAAGGTCAGTGTTAAGACTGAATTGGCAGTTTCACGTAAATAAGACAGTCACACCCAGACAAAGTTATAACAAATTGGCCACAAGGTCAACTCAAAAATATAACAAAATCTACACAAAAATGAATCGAAACGTATTAACGAAATTCATCTGAAAGAAACTTCTTGTACCTTATTTTCGATTTGAGCAGATTTTCCGAACGACTGCAAATCAAATGATTTCTCATCATCAATTTGTCTTTGTCTTTGAAACTTTTCAAGTTGTGCATTAATTTCAGTAAGACGAGATAATATTCCAAGTGCTTGACTGTTTAACTGATAGCAGTTTTCTTTTAACGCTAGTTGATTAGCTGAATTCTCTTCATTTCTAATATGGTGATCATCTTTGTCTAAAGAATTCTGTTGATCTTCATTCGACAGTGGTTTCTGCACACAACTTTTATTTGTTTTGTGCGCATTTAAATATGGCCATATCATACGATGCAAATCACTTGTGGAGCTTAAATTACTGATGAAGAATAGTTCATCACTCCCATTGACTGAAGGTTCAGTTTTCTAAGAACAACATTTAAACGTCTATGTACGTCAACTTATATATATATATATATATATATATATATATATATATATATATATATATATATATATATATATATATATATATATAATATCTGATGCAAACGATGTTTGGAATAGTACTTAGTTGACCAGTTCTTTTTGTAATTTTAGTACCAGAAGACAAACATATTTACTTTCAAAATTAAAAGTTGGTCGGGTACTGGAAACTGAAATAATGGAAGAGGGTGAAGTTGGTAAAAGTATCTACACTTATACAACTATTGAATGGCTTAAGTTGTCAGAAACCACTCAAGCTGATTTATACATTTCACTAACCATATCAAAGTGATCTATGCACCGGATGGCCGTTTCGCTCGGTTGAGGTTGAGCTCATCATGTCAGCCTAAGTGGTTTCTGACCACTTAAGTCGTATAGTATTAGTATACTTCTCTAGTTCATGAAACGTTTGTGTCAGAGATCACACCTTGTGGACTTGGTTGGGTACTTTCCAACAGAAACCCTGTTGACATCACAGTTGGATAGTTAAAAATTATTCAGCTGTCAGAAATATCAACGTGGACAGCGTAATTTGTAAATCATTTGCAAAAATGGTCTGCGTTGTTTGTAAAAGAGCAGCTCAGCGTTACGTAGAGGTAAATCTATGAAAAACACCTTAACTGTACAGATTATGAAAGGAAAACGCCTAACTACCACCTCATTGATACAACTGAAACTAACTAGACTGACATTGTGAAATACCTTTGAGAAGCTTATGGTCACTCACAGGAGGGTGTGATAATACCCAGATACATTAACTTCAGTTTAGGTGGAACACAACTTGACGTTAGAAAAATTAACTAACAAAGGAGAATGAAATCACTCAACCATTTACCTACTTATTACTTATAGGTGAAATTGATGATATAAATATTCCAGAGAAAAGTATTATTATCGATTCCTCGTGCAGCATTACTTAATACACCACTTGTAATTAAACTAAAGGTTTTATCAAGGAATGGTGTGGCTCTGAAAGTAATAAAACTGTTCATATTTATGTGCAGAGTCGGTGCCCTTAAGAAATTATAGAAACAACTGGGTAAATATGTGCTTCATTAAACTCTGATAAATACTTACATTTGAATTAGTGTTAGGTATGAAATCCTTCCCGTCATTATTATTGGTGCAATCTCCACCTTCATCATGATCCGCTAGAAGCTCTTCTATACGGGCTTCTTCTTCCGCTGTCATAGGCATGACATCTTTCCATCTAGCTGCTAGCTACCATACATATTTAACAATCAAAGCACAACAAAATAGGACTTGTAAGACCATTATAGGTTACTTTCTGAGATATATTTTGAAATATTATCCGAAGAAATTGAAACATACAGCTTAATGTATAAATGTGAGTGATTAAATGAAACTGGGCAGTAAAGATAAACAGAGACATTCAGTCAATGTACGTTGTGAATATTTAATTCCATTTCAGTATCACTGAAGCTACTCAGTGTTGTACTAAGCAGTTAGGTGAATCGATTATGGATCCCGTTGTATCCCATGTCACATTAGCTATGCAACCTGGAATTCTCTTACTCGAATCCACTCCAATCTGAGGCGACACACGTTAGATGGTGACTAGTTGACTATGAGTCTTACTTATTTAGATAATCTGATGGTTTTGATTGATTTCTGTTTTCAAACAGAATGACTGAAAGTAACAGAGAACCTGGGCAATAATAGTATTCAATCCAGCGGTCTCGAGTTACTAATCTTTCGATCCACCGACTGTATCACTAAGTCCAATATAGATATTTTTTGTATTATCTACTGAGTGATCGGTACTGGAACACTGCACTACTAGTTGTGATGACTAAATCTACTCTGAAACAACTGTTATTTGTAGTGATATCAACCATCTTTACACTGTGAACACATAATTAACCGAAGAAAAGATGTCTTAGTATTATTTTGTAACCATTTTAGAAGATTTCAAAGGACCCTTTGATTACTGTTTTACGTCGTTTAACTAAAATCTATGTCTGTTTCATATATTTTAGTGTAGACGGCTTCGCCACATGTTTGCAATTTATTATTTTATGAACCTGTTAGTTAGCCTTATAAACCTATTACCTATAAATCCAAACGAAGAGAGAAAGAGGCTGTGAATATCTCTAACTACTCAAATGAAGGTTTAGGTCTTTTCATTTTCAGTAAAAACCATCTTTATAGCCAAAATAACGAAATATAATCAGTTATTTCTGTAATTATTGGGGCCACTCTCTTAAGTTCCTTCTATTTGGTAGGCGCAAGGAAAAGCAAAGTTCAGGTATATTCTGATAGTGATGTGGATAGAAAGTCATAGTTGTTATAACCATGAATAAACTGATACACTTTGAAACCACGTATTTAAACCGATAACTGCTCACATGTATTCCTAACTTTAACACCTTTGCATGAGTTACTGTCTGAATATCGCTTCAATTCTCTATGCTTCACCCAGGCTTAGTGCCAATTATCGTAATGAATGCCAGACGGGGTATTATTGGCAACCATTTATAACTATAACTCTTTCTTTGTCACTAGACAATGCAGTAGAAAACAAAGACTGATTTCATGCACAGAAATTAGGATAATACACGTTAGTTGACTTCACTTAGTATGCACTTTTTTCGCAACCGTGAATCGCGCGGAATCGAGTGGGGAGTCAATAAAAGCATATTAAGTCCAACTGCGTAGTAATACTATACAATAAATCGTAGGTAAAATGTCTTTTTAAATAAAATAATGCTTTTTCATGATTCCCTCTTTCATTTATTTCTTTATAACAATCATCACATGGTAATGTTAAGGTTATATTTTGAAGTTACTACTGCCAGTCACGCGAAGCAAGTATACAATTTTACTTGCCACTGTAACAAAAAGATGGTTTGTTCTGAGACATAAAAGTTTTCAGTTGTATTCAACCTTGACTATGAGCAAAATGAATGATAAATAAGCAAGAAATATGTCTTTAAGTTAGACTGCGTGGATTAAAACAAAACTGGGACAACTGCTTTTTTCCTTAGTTTCTATCATAAAAGTGCATTTACACTTGACTTTTGAAATCATCACCTTCATTTATGATTCCGTGAGGACTTTATTAATCCGATCACAAATTTATTCAACTAATCCTCATTCATAATTCTAAATAATGCATCCAGATCTTCTGGATGTATAAAAGTCGCAAAATAAACCAGTTGACAAGTTTTGATAATGATCAACTAATTTCTCAATGACTTTCAGTCGCCTTTTGTTATAAGCATTAATCATGTAATTATTTCATTCCACATATCATGAAAATGATAAATTATCTGACATTTACTGATTTCAACCGACTGTTTGTTGAGATCATCTTACATGGAACGTATTGACATGGTATCACTCTAACTACATCTGCTTCAGTCATATTATTTACAGCCCATTCTAGTACCTTGTTGAAAGTGGCATCAATGGATTAAATAGTCTACTGCTTGTTATTATTCGTTTGGGGTATTAGTTGTGTATATTGGCTGGTCACTGGAGGGTAACAAACTTCATATTGTCTGGTCCTAAGTCCTAAGCGAATTCTATCGATCATTTTGCAATGTGGTCACCAGACTAGGAGACTCAGTATCGCGGTGCACTTTGACAGACGTTAGTGAGATGGAGGCAATCGACAGGAAGCCCTGAACCTATGGTTTCATGCTTTTTGGCACTCGCTAGCAAAGTTTTTCTACAATCTCTATAGAACCGATGTCCTGAGGTCGGTAGAGGACCTTGTAGCTCAGTGGTGACGTCCCTGGCTGTAGCACTGGTTGACGCGGGTTTGAATCTCAGATATCACATTAGTCCTTTAGAGGTTGTAGATAAGCCCCGCTGTAGAGTGGCAACAAGCACGAAACCTGGGTCAAGCACAGCTTCCTGTCGATCTCTTCTAACCAATTGGAATATGTTAATTGTGTGTTTTTTCGAACAACCTTCAAATCTCTTCTGTACTATTCCAGTGCAAACTTTTCAGGGTTTAATTTTCAGTCAAAGGTCGATTTGAAAATGTTAGACAGAAGAAAAGTGGTGATTTATACCTCGATATTACGTTTGATAAAATTCTTGTTGGATTGTATTGACTTATTATTGAATGGATTAAATAAAGTTTGCGTGAAAGATGTATTCTGTTGGATTTCTGATTCATTTAACTGACAGTCTTGTGAATGCATACTTGAATATACTTCTGGATCTGGAAAATAAGTATAATGTGGAAAATTTATTATCTAAGTTAAAAAACTGATAATAGACAGCTATGAACAACACATGAATAGCTGCATTTCAAACCTAGGTATAAGATAGCAAAAGGGACATCATAGCAGCATTATCGAGAGTCATGAAACTCCATTAAAGAACGAAAACATAAGAAAAAAATCAATGTCGAATATCGTACAGTAGTGCATCGATTCTGACTGTCTCACTTCACAGTAGTGCATAGAGAATAAGTCGATAGAAAAAGAATGATATCAGAGTAGGCAAAGTTGTGTGAGAGAATAAACAATCTGTGGATGACAATTAGTCTAAGCATTCAAGCTACTGAAGACGTCAGGAAGTGAATACATTTACGCCATCGTGACCTGTTTTCAGCCATGTCACCAACAGTCCTCAACCACTGATTTCAGTCACCTCGGGTACCCCAGCCAAGTTGTCTATATCTCCACACATCCCTCAGACCAGCAGTCAAGGATTTCATGTACTTGTGCCAGGTCTTCGCCTCCACGCCTTGAGTGTTCTCCCAACTTAATCCAACTTCTCCTAGCACTACATGTTGAGGTAGGTGGTGGTTTGGCATGTCCAAGCCACTACAATCAATGAAGGTTCACAACCTTATCCACTTACTTGTCTTCCTTGCCTATTGCTTTTGGCCTGACCTCTACATCGCTACCATTATGATTTGACCATGTGTGAGCAATTCTACGAAGACACATGTGATCAAAAACTTGTAACCACTTTATATATTCTACTTTCAACGAACACGTCTCACAGGTATATAACAAGACAGAACGGAATAAAGTAATAAGGAAAGGAGATGAAGGAAATAATGTAATATGATATTATAAGTAGGATGAGGATATGACGTTGATAAGTCATTACTAGTGAGATGATTTTATTCACTAATTCCTCTGATATCTTATACACTGATTTTGATGGTCTAAAAGAAAATAATCAAGAAGCATACATTTCACTACACAATTGTTATCATTAGTCAGAGATGTCATGAACTGGTAATATCTATTGGTTTTGCTACAATTAACTTTCATTCATCTTTATCAAAGTTCAGTTAACATTGCAGGTTAAACTGGAGTGTGTAGGTATGTGTAATACATGTCTCAGACACCTTAGTCGATAACCGTTGCTTACTTCATCAAATGACACTTGCAGACATTGTATTATTACAGTAGTTGTAGTGACAACTATTAGTGAAATTTCTCAATACAAGCTTTGGCCTACTAACGACCTATGAACTGAATATCACTGTAGCTCAATGGGATCATCACTGTTGGCTAAATTTAGAGAAACCTCACTCTTTATGTACTCACCATTATCTATCCAACTATAGGTAATTTGAATGAATTTCCAGGACCTGAATGATCATTTTGCTCATTTAGTTACCCTTCGTTTATAAATTGAATCTCATCACTTTTGTTGACTAAAATATTGTTTTTCATTTTTACAGTTTCGTTTGTGCTGACATGAATTGTATCAACTTGAATTGATCCATTTCTGAGCACAAATCTGTTTGGATGTATTGGACTACATAAAGCCTAACAATAGCTCCCGCATAAATTATTCAACATTTAAGTTAGGTCCAGCTGATGGGTGGTTAAGTAAAGCGGAAACTAAATCTTGTGCATTTTAAGAAATATAATTAACTATTTGATAAATCTAGTTCTTGTAAATAATAAAATATGAGTAAACTAAAACTAGATAATATAAAAATGGAAAGTGAAACCATTCACTTTGTTGAAATGCATTTAGCATTATTTGAAATACCTTGCCGTAGTGTCACATGATTTGAATAGCTATTACTGGAATAAAATTGAAGTCAATCACAAACACACCTTACACTAGTTGTCCAGGCCCAATGTTTAACCTTTCTTCATATCTCTTTAAAATTATATTTGGAACCGCATTCGTGTGTTTAATTATCTTCATGACAAATAGTTGTATTGAAGATGCATTACACGGTGTTAAAATAGAATCTTTCTTGCAGATATATCAATTTAATATTGATAATAAAGAATTAAAGAAAGGTTTTTTTTATTCCTCTCTGCATCACTTCAGAAATCCCCCTAGCATACGTAGAATGCATGCACCAACAAGGAAATCCTGGAAATTATTATTTTAATGAAGTAATGAGTATCGTGTCTTACAATGCAAACTCATGAATTTAATCATCTTGCTGAGTAAACGAACGGAAGAGATTAAGTTACCATCCAGCTAATTCCTTAAAGTGATTCGATTACTTCAGTTAGACAGACATTTATTTACTTACGTGACAAACAAATAAAAATAAAGTTTGGGTTGTTGAGATTCTTAACTGGAATCAAAAAACTAACGAGCATTTTTCCCTTCAATCATTATTCCAATTCTTTAACTTCGTGAAAATTAGTTAAAAGGGGTAGATACTATCGTTTCATTACTCAATCATCATACCTTCTTTTATTTCATTGGTATAATCTTATCAGTTGGGTAAAATTATATCTGAGTTAATTAACCTCAAGGATTTAAGCACTACCATAAATGATTCGATGTCAGCATCTCCAAAATAATTGGAGCCCACACCATTTCCCTTAAGTAAACGTTTCACAATCTAATTAAATTATATAGAAAAGAAGCATTTCATTGATTAGACCTCTCACTGCTAAAAATATCAATTAGGATGAGATTGAATTCGTCTATATCTTTGCTGGAAGCAACAACTGTCGATGAAATACCAAAAGTTTTCAATTGCTTCGATTATAAATTTCCATTATATATATATATATATATATATATATATATATATATATATATATATATATATATATTCCAGTCATTAATGAGAAGAACTGTGTGTATTAAATTACTTTTCGGAACCAGTTTCCTTTCAATATTTGTCGTAACTCATTCGGCACAAAGTGAACCCGGAGGCGTTCTACTGACATCCTGCGGTTATGTAGATTTTCTGATAACTTCAGTTATTAATACTGGGTGATGATCAAAGATGAAATGAAAATCTGGGCCTTGGCGGAATTCAAACAAGCCACCAACTGAGCTACGAGACTCAGCTTCTGATCAGATTTTTCTCTTAACTTCAAGCACTAAGGGTTTTGCCTGAGTGCTGCGTGAGTTCTTGATGGGTTACTATCACTTGATCATACACCAACTGCCCAGTTATGAATTCTGTCGGCATTCAGGCAAAACCCTCGGTAATTGAAGTGAAATAGAAATCTGATCAGCAGCCTGGTCTCGTATCTCAGTTGGTAAAGCATCAGGCCTGTAACCCAGAGACTTCTGGTTTAGGTCCTACTGCGGCCTGGATTTTTATTTCAACTTCAATCATCACTAAGAATCAATACAAGTCTGCTAAGCATGGCTTTCTCAGATAGTAGAGCTGTTAACTCCAGTTATCAACCTGAAATAAGTTGTAAATTGATGTTTTCCATGAGAAAACTCTTTCTCTTGAAGTTATTCATACTTTTCAAATAGAGGACCAGATATTTCTCTCAGCGTACACTGATCCTTTGGACAGGAAGCAGTTTGCAAGCTTTTAAAATAAAAATCATCAACTCACCAACACACCTTGTTCAAGTAGTTTGTTGATTCTGTCATCTCTTTCCCTCTTCCCATTTATTAGGCATTGATTATTGCGCTCATTTCTGAAGACAGATTCAGACTGAAAGTTTTCCATGTCACCTTTCTTCGTGCGAATTGGACAATTAAACTTATCGTTCTTGACTGAATTTCGTAGGGTTGTAGAAATAAAAGTTTGAAGCTTTTAACTACTATTAATCAATTGAAGTAGTTAGTGATGTTAACGTAAAATATTTATGTGGACTCGGTGGTAGCAGTCGATTGCGCTTTTGTTCAGAGGACCATAACCATCCCTAGCGAGGTCATGAGCACACACTATTAGGGGTTCAATACTTGAACGAAACAGTTGTCAAGTGCTCCCAGGTTTTCAATGTTTCTCCAGCTTATGTCAGTCCATGGTTAATTACAACATGAAATCAACAAATCCCCACAAACTACGAAATTCAAAATTGTAATAATTTGAATAATTTTAGCCTCGTGTGAATCGAAGAACATTGACTCGTTTAGCTTACATTACTGCGTTTTTCTTCATTTCCACAGTGCAAACTTGTTTTCGCTTCTCGACTTACTTAAGTAACTGTGGTATCTAGAAACCAGAGTAATGCTCAAGTTAACTGAAAAATAGTTTCAGTAATTACACACTCGGAAGCAAGTAGATGTTAGGACCAAACAAGGGCTACATTTCTGCTCTGTTATTTTAACTGAACCTGGTTGACTACCTTGATCTATGTATTTGACCTCTCAATCATTGCAAGGGATTTGGTAAACCAGATTATTCGGCTTAATTGCATCCATAGGATCTTTTAACCTTCAAAGCTTGCTTTTAAGCCAGTGTTTTGTTTGAAATGCCGCTTTAATCCCAGCCTTAATGAGAATTCTTCATAATGCTTCTGACGTACCTTCCCTGTACGGTAACACAGCAAAGGCTTGGAATTCTCTCTCAACCCTGTCACCATTATTACCATTAGTAGTAGAATTATTATTAATAGCACCTACATTACTACTACTACTACTGATAATATTTTTCTTATGAATTTATGTATAAATATTGGTGGGTAATTATTGAAACGCAAGATATTCTTGATGTATCTCATTTCTTGTACAAAAACTTAGCTAAATCAAGACTAGTAGACCCTAATAAGATAAGAAATTTCGAAAAAAGCTCGGCTATAGCTCTGCACTCAATTTCACAATTACACAGTAAGGTGGGATAGGGTGATAGCGTTAAAAACTAACTCAGTTGGGTGGAGGGATAGATCAATAACAGAATCTTTGTTAATCGAATCAACACCAAATACATGCAGTAATAGAAATGATTCCACACCTGTCCCAGATATATATTGGAAATTCTACTACCCTTGTCATCACACAGAAGGAGAGAAAGTTAGGACTATGTAAACCCTGTCTCGAAGTTGTGGAGTTAGTTACCTGATTTGAATATGGACAATAAATTATGTCTGAAAAATTATTCAGTAAATGCAAGTGTTTTACTATGTGACATTTCCAATAAACAGACTAAAATGGGATTACAATCTACCGTAGTGCCGAAGTTTTACTCCTATATTACTACTTAAGAAGGCTTGTGTATTGATCTAACAGTGGTAAAAAAGGTCACTAAAAATTCAGTATTTCCAAATGAATTGCTTCTTAGTATTATTATAAATTTCTTCAGGACGCACGAGTGACCTCAGTCAACAGCGAAAGCAAATTCCAATGAGAACACTGACATGTTTGAACCTACCGACTTAATGCAAGCAACTGAAGCATCCAGCTTCGGTAAATATATACAAGTCGTGGTGCTTTAAAGCAACCCTTATCGAGCCTGATACTCCGACATAAAGTCACGTACTATCCTATCAACCTCGACAGACTTGGTGACATCGCATCGTGAAAAGATCATCAGATTATATGACGGGCTTGATCGTACTCTTCTTTTTCATAAAAGGATTATATTAACATGACTTGGCATACCGAATCTATAAACGGGCATGGGAATGGAACTGCAACCTGTAAGTAAAGCACATTTAAATACACCGACTGTCTCAGTATTATATTTGTGTACCCATGGTTACCTCTTATAAATGATCCAACAGATTACCTTACAGAAATCTTGTCACGACTTGATGGATTTTTCTAATCACTGAGGGAATACCACTTTCATCATGGCTATAGATAAGCCTTGTTAACAAGAGTCGAGAGGTACGAAGTCAAAGCTTCCATCCGGTCAACTCCCAAAATCTAACATTAAAGCTTGGGAACATTTTCATAGTTTGGTCAGGGAATTTTACCAGAAATCAGTAAATTAGAAACAAAATGAAAGGCAGTAGTAAGCACTTCAAACGTTTTACTTGTCTTAGGAAAATGATGTTATGATATATAAATGTCGGTACAACTATTCTGATGTACTGTGCTTCAATCCTTTCAGATATATGTTACGAAGACCACGACACATTCGAACAGTCTTACACTTCGATATCACTTAGTAAAACTGAATCACTTGACAGTCTTTGGATCACCGTATAAAAGATTAGACAAATCAAATTGAATTACCTTTATCTCTGTATTTCGATGAATCAGAATTATTTAACTTTAAAAACTTTTCAATGTTTCGACGAATTTCATTTCGAATGGGATTTAATTTCTTATCAAATGTATCAGCTAATACTATTTGATTTAAATTGTCTTCTATCACTTCTAACTCATGCTTTGATTTTTGAATCATTGTACCATCTAAGTTTAATAAATCATTTAATTCATTTTGGATTTTATTGTGTAAAATTCGAGTTTTTCTTTAACCTTGAAATCATTGTATAAGCAAAAAAGAAAGTAAAGGATGTGAATGAATCAAAAGCGTTCAATTGGTCAATGTCAGAGGATACACATTCAAATAAATATTCGTTCAACACAAAACTCATGTAATGTGTATACTTTTGCTAATGAGTTCAAACTAATTAGTTGAAGACCATTTTGTTTAGGTAGGAGTTTTTTTTCAAAAAACAAGTTTGTAAACATTTACACTGAACAGTTGTCATTTTTTTAGATATCGAATGAATGAACCTCCATATGTCATTGTTTCATACTTAGAGCACTTTTGCGTTTGAAGTGATGAATACTGGATTACAGTCTCATTGGGAACACCATCACTCACTGCGGTGTAGGTACATCTAGCTGATGAGCCCCAAATGGGAAGAAACGCTTATCGTGGATTCTACTGCCAGCCACCAAGATAATTTCTACACACCATTTTTTTTAAAACTCGTACCAAATAACATATATCAAAGCTGTGAGAAAAAACTAACGCCCACCGGTTAATTATGCGCAACGACTATCAGACATTTTGACTAAGATTAAACTTACAATACTTGGTGTACCTTTAGAACATCAAAAAAAACTGAGGTCAAAGATTGTTTGTCGTTTTTGTAGAAAATCGTGAAGTTAGTACTGATGTCGTCTAAAAGGAAAATGAAAGCTTCACGATTAAACAACCCAGCTCAGAGAACACAATCAACCAACACCATCCACCTGAGCTAAAAATATTCTCCGCTATTTCAAAACGTGAAATAATTGTCATAGATAGGTTAAGTGTAATATTTGAGTTTATTGTTGTCGATAATTTATAACAGGTATTGTTCATTTTTGTCAGATCTATTAAGGTAAGATTTGGAAGCTTATAAGACAAAATATGGCCTAAAAAGAAGCGGCTGATTAAGGTTGGTGAGTTGAAAAATAGTATCGTAGTCATGTGATTCAGGGAAAAGCTTCTTCAGACTGATAACTGGATTCAACAAAAACTACTATGCATAAATGAGAATAAATTATGCCTTTGAAACTGACTCAGTTTAAAGAACTATACATCAGATAAAAATCTGGAACTGATTCTATCACATATTTTGTGAATTCATTGACTTTACGAAATTCATGTATTATGCTTGACCGTCAGCCTTATTTTTAATCTTCTAGGTGGTTGGATAGCGACAATACTGAGTATCATCTCAAACAGAAACGTCTAGGTCATCAGGCTTGTTGATTTGAAACGAATGACCATGGCAGTTTAACAGCAAAAATAGGCAAGTCTAAAAATTTATTGAAATAAACGGTTAAATTAATAGTCTCGCATTGAATACGTGCCAACGACGAACAAATAACTGAGAGAAACCGGGCGAAGTATTTTCCTGGGATTTGTGAGCTGACAGCCACTTACCGGTGAAGATGTGAGTACCAGCTGACACTAACGGTGATTAATCTTTCGTGACAACCAATCACTTTCGAGTATGCACTGACCAATAAGAATCGAGCACATGTGGGACAACGTAACTATCAGGGAAAGTGGTATTTTATTTACAATTTATAAGTCTTTTTTACATGAGAAATAAAGACATCTACATTTTCATCAGGTTTACCGTCTTTAAAACCCATACAGTTATGTCTGCTGTCACTCATGCATATTAGACCACATCACATCCCCCTGTGATCTTACTATAGGTCCTGGAAACTTTCTAAGGCGCCTCTACAATATTTTTAGCGTTGTTTGTGCGCACTTGAGCTATCGGGTAGATGAAGTGTTTCTTGCGAACAATAACTTGATGGGTGTAACTCATATCAGGTAAAAGCATGTACGACTTCCAGGTAACAGTATACATTGTAGCACACAATTCCGTCTACTTTTATATAACCTGTAGGATAGATTCTTATGATCTATCCTTTATCCTCTGAAATGCTCTTTCTTCCTATTGCAATCAAATGTCCTAAAAATCTGTGGTTTATCCAGACATGCATATGTAACTTTCACAGTCTTGTTTAGGCTATCCTTCTTGGTTATGTTTACGTTTGCGAACAAGATGTTCATCTATTTATACCACAGTACCTACTCTACCAAACTTCATACCCAATTGGCATATGATTTCTGGAAAAATATCTCTTCAGTGCTGACTGTTAGATCTTCTGCTTACATTACAGATGTAATAATGTAGTAACAAAATCACCATTTGTTGGAGAGTTAGACGAGATCCTTTGAAAATTGATCCTGTTCTCAAATATGTCTTCTTGTATCAGATTAGACTACAATTGGCGAAACCATCTGTCTTCTCATTTTTAGGAACACAACCCACTGTCACACCACATGCAAAATGTAAACTTCTCGCAAGCTACCCAACTCTCTTCAAATAACCGATAACATAATCTTCGTTGTACTTCATCAACAGGTTATGCAGCTTCAAAACATGGTAAACGTGCCTGAATAAATGATCCTGACTAAAGCATTTGCAAACTGACTGATCATTCTTTGGGTTTCCCATCACTAAAGTTTAATTCTACTGCAGTGACTTCTGCCTTTACAATACGTATCTACCCAGGTTGCCATTTAACAACTTTCTGATAGCCGTTTATTTAATAACAATTTAGGAATCGTTTTAAAACCACTGTGATTATCTTTAATTATCTCCCATACACAAATCCCTCAAGTCTTGTTTTATTCAACCTTCTGAATATCCGATGTGAACGAATAGAAGTTTACGTTGTATTTAGAAATCAACCAACTTTAATGTCTCTGCCGAAGGCTTTAACTTTTCGATGAAATAAGTTTACCTAATTAGTGAATTGTTGAGGCATAACGGTATAATTTTTTTTGATTATTACCAGCAATAAATTAATAAGCACGGTCGTAATTTTCTTTTTTTATCTGTGCTTCAGCGGTCTAATGATGTGTGGACATATATACACCACTGTATCAATTCCGCGACATATTACCTAAAGTCTTCTATCAGCGACTTCTGTTGTAACATAAACCCGACGCGGAAGTCTACCATTCCATACAGGGATCAAGCAAACAGTCAGAAACTTCTTGAACTGAAGAAATGTTCCAGTCTGGCTGCCTCCAACATTTTTCCAGCCTGAATAAACATATATCTCAGCTATCTGAGTGTATAAACTTTCAAAACTCGATTAACTAATTTAATTCTCTTGCCTTAAACACTATATCTGACTTCTGCATGGCTGACAAGGTGGCACCCCGAAATAAAGCCTGTGCTGTAAAGGTGATGGTGGTCAGATACCGAAAGCCTTGTTTCCACTACGATGTTTCACGGTTATACAGCATAACAGAGAAAACCGCAGTATAGTACAATCGTCTCTTAATAAACAATGGAATATGATGGCGTCAAGCCTTTTGAATCCATGTAGAAACTCGGTCATTCACTGACCCATCAGGCTTGGCCAGACTTCTCAAATAAGTCAAGTCATCAACACACCCGAACATTCCACTCCGAACTGTTAAACAAAGCGTAAGTGAAGCCCAGTCCTAGAGCAAAAATTTACATTTAGGTGGGGAAGAAATCATTCCAAACATTTTCAAGTTGTCCCTTACGGTGTCCGAAAGACTGCATCTTTTCAGCATCGTCATGTAACAGGATAACGTCATCTGCATATTCTAGATATACTAAAATTCTCCTGTAACAGAATCAATCTGTGCAGAGTCAGTTGAGGAGAGGAAGACCTCCATAAGTAATTTTGCTACGAAATAGAATAAAAGTTGACACAGTGGTTATCCTTGACCGATACAACGCGACGTACACAACTGGCCATCTCTTCTAACGCGTTCATGTACGTTCAAGTAGACAGCCTTCAGCAGAGTAAGGTACTCACCCGGTACCCACTCCAGTGAGGGCCACCGCCATTGGACATATCGGGCGAAGGGGTTGGATGCCTCCTTCAGGTCAAGAAATACAGACAGTGTTGGGCGTCCGTAAGTGTGTATGAGTTCTAGAACCTGCCGAAGGATGGCTTAAACAAGACTGTGAAAGTTACATACACATGTTGCTGATAAACCGTAGTCAGGTCTGAAACCTACGTGGCTTTGTCTAGTTTCCAATTCCCAAGCTCTACTTGCATCTCTGATAATTCCAGGACCTTAGATCTTAGACTCTATGTTCCTCAGGCTACTTCCTCTGTGGTTGTCATAAAAGAATCTCTCTCCTTTAGTAAAGACTGAAGCAGTCACTGATTGGAACTAGTCAGAGAGGATCATATCTGACTTGTACATACTAGATAACGCTTCAGTTAATCTGACCAATAATCCACTACCACCGACCTTAAAGCCTATGGTCCTGCTGCTCATCCTCTTTTCAGTTTGTGTTACAGCTTTTTCAACTTTTCTAAATGTTGAAGGCCTCATTTCTACTTTCCATTGACGATCCAATTGGATGACGGACAACAAAATAGTAGCTGTAGGTCAACTGAATGTTCTGACCATCGTTTTATTCGTCTCCCCCGTGAATGAATCTCATACCTATCCTTCTCCATTATATTGGCTTACCATTGACCTTTTGGCCACAGTTTCCCTGTAAGACTAAGTAAACGTCTAGTGTTACCTGTTGCCGCTGCTCTCTCTATATATTCAGCCTTCGCTCTCCGTCACCGTTCGTGGTCACTGCGTGGACTCCTTGTCGTTCTATATTTCAGTTGTCTCCGCTTCTCGTTGAGCTTGTAGTCTGCTACAATTATTTAGCGTATACTAATTAATTCAGAAGAGGCTACTGCGATTCACTAGCCTTTTCTAACATCTTTTTGAACTTTAGTTACTCTTTTGAACTCTGTTTTTAAAGCAGATTGTAGATAGCAGCAGGCTTCTTCTGGATGAGTGTTGTTCTGTTACCGGTTTCTTGACAAAGACGTCTTGGCATGCTCATCATTGAGCTGCCTGTCTCCAAAAGTAGTTGGTATTAATATGCTTCCTCCAACATCGACTCAAGTTCGGTAGATGTGGCATCAGACAATGCCTCTTTTTTTATCTGGAGTTTTCATTGGTCAAAATGTAGAAGTGATTGTCAACAAGAATGTCGTTTTGTTGTTATGGCTAGCTGAACCACAACATCCAGTTACTATGCATATGATGTTTTAATTTCAACTAACATTTTTTTCAATTAGAACCTCATTCCATAAAGAATATACAATATTAGGTGTAATATAATCAAATTTTAGAGAAAAAAATGATTATAATTTAGAATAAATTTTTATTTTTCATACCTCTTTTTCTTCTCTCACTTTACTATTCAATATTGTATCTAATAATTTGATTTTCATTTTACCTTTGATAATTCTTTTATCTTCTTTAACTCCTATTTTTTCATTCTTGACTGAATTACATGTGCCATTTGTTCCAATGAAGTTACTAAGTGAATGACTAACTTCTTCAAATTCACTACTGATCCCTTCTAAATCTATAAGATAAAAAAAAACAAAGAATTCAAGTTGGATAAGCATGAAATCAAAGTTAAACGCATAAATAGCACGTTTAAAACGATGCAATAAAAGCACTTAGTGGAAGCTAAATGTGATTTAAGTGAAAGGGTGAAATAGGTACCATGGAAGTCAAGTGATGAAGAAGCGAAAGACCATTGGTTCCAAAGAATAAAAATACAGATAAACAGGTAGAAATAAAAGTTTAAAACCATGCACAAAAGTATATCAACTCACAAATACATAGAAACAAAACAGGCGAAAAAATGGGGAAAATTGGTTGAAAAAGATGAAAGGAAAAGTAGAATGTTTAAAGCCATTATTGAAATTAGAAGAAGAATAATCTCATCTTACGCTGAGCATAAAGAACCTGATTCCAAACTTTGAGGATTTCGTTTACTCAGAATACACCTGCCTATACTCTGGTAACCTGAAATCAGTCACTTCACGCATCGACGGCGCATCATTGACTTGGTTAAACGTAACACAGTCCGACCTCGCCTAATGTCTCATGTATACATGATTGTTTCTCATTTACTCTGAGTTTAGATATTCAAAGCTTAGCTTCCTTGCCGAAACCTTTTCACCTGACTTTTACACTAAAGTGCTCCAAAGATATCAATGGTCAGATTCTTATAGAATGTGTCCCAGTGAAAAACTATTACGACCGAAGGTCCCATCCGTTGAGAGGTTTTATAAATCTGAAGCATCTAACATACTGAAAATCAAGCAGTTTAATAATGAAATGAATTATTTGTCACTGTGGTTTCCAGTCTACAACAATCTTTTGAATGATGCTAACCTATATGCATAGTTTTGGAAATAAATAACAGCTTGTAACCCATTCTAATTTCTACATAAACATAAACTTAGCCACTTCATTAGGATGCAATTCCATGTTAGATTTGTTTATCGATGCAACAAAGTGGGTGATCATCTACTTCATGAGAGATGCAAGCTTGACTAAAACAAATGGCAGTCGAGAAAGGACTAAACTTTAGGGCAACAGTAGATCAGACGAAACCTTAGGATTTCATCTATAGTAGTGGTATTAAGTGCAGTCGATAAGACATTCATTGAACAGGTTCGATTACAATGTTCACTAGCATTGAATAAATATAAAAAAATACAAGTTTCAGGAAAACAGAAAACATGAACTCTGAATAATCTGCAAAGTAATTATTGCATAGTAACTACCAAAACCAGATAAAGATAATTCAACAGTAGTCATGAAATAATCATATTAATTCAAGAAAATCAATGAGAATCTTTAAGAAGGAACAAATGAAGAGGTTAGGAAAACCTGTAGTCACTGTCAGAAAAAAAATTGGAAACCTAAAACCATTTGATACACCGAATGTAGCTTTTTCTGGATGAGTCTAAGTGAAGTATTCTTACGCTTAAAATTAATAATTCCAGTAGAACATATATTATGGCTGAGCTTCATAAACCAGGTTATCTTACTACACTGATAGTTGAATTCACAAAAAATCTTCGAAGAACAAAATACTTACACATTTAGGGTCGACATTATACTCTATTAAAAGTTGCTCAAACCACAAACTTAGCAATAAACGTGTAACGAAGCAAAGTCATGATTATATTCTGATAGAACAGCATAAGAAGTTATTTAGTTTTGATATAGCAAGTTTACGTACTAATTTACACATCAATATGATTCTGTAGGCTGTCAGAACTGAAGTTAACAATGATCCTGAAATCACTCAAAGAAAAAGTGTACCAGTTAAATATATAATTTCATGAGTTCATTTATGTATTTTCCCTATAGTTCTGTCATTTCGTGATACACAAGCAAAAGGAGTAATAACGAAGTGATCAGTATCTTTATTCATAGGATAGCTGAGAACGTATGGCTCCCATAGAGTCACCCATATTTACAAGACGGATGCAAACTTCATTAGAGACAGACTGTTTACATCCATACTAAAGTTAATGAAACTTATTTCTTACGTTTTCAACTTAACAAACCTTGGTAAACTCTACAGTATTCAACATATTTGGCATACAGTTTACATTCTCTCCACATTTTATCTGTATGCACCTCAATCTTCAAATGTTTAAACAGCTTAAAATTTGTAAATTCTTGTGGTAATAATGAAATGAACAAAATTCAATATTCAAGTTTGGCGGTATTATTTACCGTTGAATACTTAAAGTCATATTACAAATTTATATGATATGACTAAAGACAATATTTGCAGTAGATATTTCATTTTAATCAATTCTACAAAGTAATTTGTGACATGACTTTCCATCTATATGAACATATTGAGTGTAAGATGGTGTTCATAAATATTCGCACGCGCTACTTAGTAATTTGAAATCTGATATATAATTGTTATTTTATAGTAGCAAATATTATATTGTCTTGTAGTCACAAATAAAACAATCCTGATGATATTTGTCAAAATCCAGAAACCATTCAGTTTGTTTATCTTAGTATTAAACAATGCCAACAGTTCCTAAGAAGCAAATCTTCTTGAAGCTGGAAATTTAAGAGTGATATTGCCAGTGAGATCATCACACAACGCATAAAAAGAGGCTTGCATAAAGCATTCCCAGCCGCTAAATTATGTCCCGCCTTCTACAACTGCCCGATTCTAGGTGCAAGAAATAAAGAAAAACTGCCTGATTCTGTAACTTCCATGTGCATTTATCAATTCAGCTGCTCCTGTGGAGCGAGTTACATTGGGCGTACAATGAGGCAGTTCCATCGTCGAATTTCTGAGCACCACCCATCATGGTTGAACAAGGGACAAATTAGAACTATAAAGAGCTCCATACTTGCACACTTAGTTGACACAGGATATCAAGTGGTTACTGGAAAAGCCTTCAAGACTATCCAACAGATTCCAATTAATTTACCTCATGGATTACGCACTCGGTTACTTCACATAACAGAGGCGATTGCAATCCACCTTTACAAACCTAGCCTTTGTATTCAAAAGAAGTTTGTTCGACCACTTTCATATCGCGGCTGTCAACGTGATGTAACTTCTAGGTTTATTTTTTGCACCTCTTCCCCTTCTTGTTTCTATCAATATTCATATTTCCTGTTTTAGTAACCCTATTGATTATTTACATCATTATTTCCGAAACACCAAGTGATTGGTAATTTGATTAAATTGTAAACCTAATATATTAGTGTAGAGCCCAAGATGAAGACCTAATTGAAAAGAAATATATTTCTTCGCTCAATCAGTCTTTTTCTAAAAATCTAAGTTTCATCGTCTCAGAGTTAGAAATAATCATTTTTCTTAGCATGAACTTATAACAACTTGTTGATAAGTGTTAGTAGGAACTGAATCTTAGTCATTCAGGGTTTCTTTAGGATTTGAAACTATAACAGAAGGTATTTTCTTAATGTCAGATAAGGGAAAATCTATTTGCTGCATGTAAATAAAAGATTCTATTGGAAAATATAGCATGATTTCTTACTGTATTATTGGTTTTACTTTTCTCCACTTAAAAAATTTTTAGCTATTGAGACTAAAATAAACTTAATAACAACAAATTTATCTATACCATAAATCCATCTAACTGACTTTCAGTTTGACTTGCATCCTCGAATAATCTTCGAAGAGATGGGAATTTCTGTCTGTAAATTTCAAACATGCTAACCAGAAAATGTATATTAGGTGTTCTATGGTTAGAAGCAATCGACATGCATACCTATTACAGAAAGACTTCAAGCTTATTAGCATTCATCGTCTGACTGAATTTTCATCTTTGATTTAGTTTTTACTGCTTTTCTGACGCTCACTTCACTTAAAAAAGCATCAGTTTTGAAAGTATTATAAGATCAAGTTTAAACCATATCAGTGTAAATATTTTGTGAAAAATAACTAACCAGTCAGTGAAAATGCAGAAAATGGCAATTCTGTCAAATAATCACCAACAAATTCCAACTCTTCATTTAATTCACCCTACAGTTTGAAGAAAAGACGAGAGTAAGAGCCATTACGAATGAAATGGTAACAGGAAAACAAGATTTAGTAGTTTATTCAAACGTTTATTTAGCGATTCGCTCAGTTTTCAATTAATTTGAAAAACAGTTGTGTTTCACTTAAGTCATTCTTCTGTTCTGAAACTGTCTGCTGAAAATTTGATTGTAGTTGTTGTTCCTGGTGTTTTCCTTTAAATCGTCCAATCCACTGCCTTCCATCGGGATCAATTAATTCTATCAATGAATCTTGTTTGATATAGTTTTGTTCAAAGTATGCTTTCAGAATATGTCCACTCGCCCAATAATATGTGCCAAAACCATCCATCCTATGGGGGTAAAATAAAATAAAATAAAGTTTCTATCGGTATTGCAGGGAAGATGATATATTTCAAGGTAATATTCCTTACGAGCTGAAATAGCTTAAGGTATCATTAAAAAATAGAGGTCATTGGACAGTTGTCTCCCCTAGTATGGGGCTCGTCAGCAGTGCAGACCCATAACTGTGCAGGTGGATCGAACCTTGGGCTGTCAGCGTTCATGCTACGCACGTTGCCATACTGCAAATGGATCGGGATTCAGTGGTTTTTATTTGTCTACTCATAAACACTCACGTATACCGCGACCATCATTTGACGCCACTGGCTCGTATTTGTCTTCATAACCAACTAGTGATAAATACTACCTTGAAACTTATCACCCAGTATCCACAATCTCCAAAATGAAAAACCATACAGTGCTTGCTGGTGACTTGCTTTGAAATGTATTTTCTGAAATTCTGGTGAAAAATTGTGACTAGTAGGGTAAGATAAATTGACTATACAGACAAGTAATCGCTGGTAGTAATAAACGATGATCACCTTAAATTAAGAATTGACAGCAAATGCAAAATATGAGTCAGTGGATCCCGACACAGTTTATATACATGTATAATCGAAAGAATCACCAATCATTTATTCACATGAAGACTAAACATATCTCACGGTTATCGCACAAGAATTTGGACATGACGAGAAGTTCAACCACTGTTGACAAAGATTTCGACTGAATTTTAGTCGTCTTCACGCCAAGAACATTTTCCTAATCCCAGTCTATCTCGTAAAGACTTGTCAAAAATACAAACAGACATAAATTTCCACGCCCGGAAAAAAAGCTTGGGAAATCTGAAAGTGTCACTGTCGTCAGTTAAATGAATGGTAGTAAAGGACGCCATAGAATGATACAGAATAACATGATTTCAACCAGGTAAAATTCGGAATATTAGCTGTAAATCGCAAAAGAGCTGGAAACTCGCTACTCTTGTAATTGTGAGTGCAAAACTTTAGGCACCAACCTCCAAAAACAGAAGAAGTAAAATGAGCACATTTTCAATATGCCTTAATAAGGAGATGTATATATATCAAATTCATACTTTGGAAATTTAAAGAATATGAGTTAATATAGTTAGCTGTTTCACAGCTGCTAAAAGGGTATTCGAACTGCAGATAAAGCAGCAAGAATGAAGCCATAAGCATGCAGAAACTATAAAATGTGTCATCAATATAATAACAGATTCATTTTTACCAAAGTACGGAAGGGGATAAAAAGGGCATTGCTCAGTCTCTTGGAAAAGACAAGATATCGGGAGTAAACACTCCTTCCGAAAAAAAGTGTATCTAAAACATTAACAATGTGAACAGCAAAACATGGCCCGTATATAAAAGATTTACTCACAGTATTAGGAATATCAGAACAGCTGTTAGTAATTAAAACTGCTACACGAACTTTGTATACCAACTGTCTTTGCTTATATCATAACTTCGAAAGTATGCACCAATGTATACACCTGTGAGCAGATAATAATATTGCTACGAGAACGCATGCAGACATGGAGCGAGAAGCTTACACTCACAATAATAAGTTCATTCCACCCAGCGATCTACCAACAACCAAAACATTCTGATCAAGATTGAAAGTGCTTCGTATCAAATAATCTACTGTTTTGAAAAGCAAAATAATTTAGAACAATAGACTTATGGTGGAGAAGTAAGTCTTCGATTTCTATGAAACTTAGGAAGGATTTAAATATATGACCTACAGATAAATTTACAAGCTATAGCTCAAGTATGGTAGTTGAAAACAACCAAGTCCCGATAGTTTCAAGAAATATTGGCTTTTACTGAAATAGCCTTGTTGAAACGTAGGTGAGTCATAACGAAAGTAGCATATCAGTCTTTATACGCTTTTCTGGAATTCTGTTGTAAGAATCTGACTAATTATTGGAGATAGGATCGGTAGTGAATACCCACTGGTGAGATCAAACCATGTTTGCTGTCTATAGCGAAGTTGTTCAGATGGGAAAATATCAAAAAGGGATACCGAAGAGGAGATTACGTGGTGAAAACAACGGTACGCAACTTGGATATCAAGGACTCGACACAGTGTAAGATGATGACTGGACATTTCTAAAGGTATCAGAAAAAAAATTATATAGCTGTGTAGTTTCCAGCTTCATCACATGTTGTCCCTTCAGAATGTGGACTACAATAAAAATGGAAAGGTGTAGAAATTGATTTGGCAGTTAATTTCAAGACACTTTACTTTCATTTATGGTTTTATCCATTAAAATTCATCCTTTTTAAGCGTGCTGCTGGTAGTAACACTCTCTTTGACATTTTTACACCCCACTTGATTCCGTTTTGTTGAGATGCCTGTTGGATATTATAGGTAACAAAATTTGTTAAGGAAGCAATCAGTAGGTTGGCTTAAACTTTGACTAATTTCCGTGCAGATAAAGCAGAAGTATAACTGCCTCACTGGCTGCATGAATATTGTTTCGTCAAGACATCTATGTAGAACTTGGAAATGAAATTCTAGCTTGAATCACCACTTTTTACCAATGGGAGTTTCATACTAGCCAAACAGTCAGTGATGTAATCTTTCTGAGGCAGATCATATCAAGAAAGAAGGTAATTGTTCTTTTTTTGCGCATCTCAACCCTATCTGGATCATCAGTACATATTCGTATGAGAGATTATCTTATAGTGATCAAAAACTCAGCAAATACCAGTAAGTGATTGCATCGTAAAGTCAGAGAAACGAATTACTCACAAGAGGAACTCAAAGGAGTTGCGTAACTTTCTGCCAACCGCAAAAGGTAAATGTGTTGTCGAAAGGTTGCACCTCAGAATTCGTACCATAGCAGAAACTTGAAGTGGTAAGTTTATTCAAGAGACCAGTTAAAAGAGCATATATGGAGAGTGGACTCACGTAGAGAGGAAAGTTCCGCATAAATAATCAGTGAAAATGGTACTGTTGTTGTTGCAGGTGCATAGTGGTATCATTTTCCGGGATAATCTTAATGACATGAGTCAAATCACCTAGACAGATTTATTCAACAGATGGAGACGGTTGAAACTGATCCACGCTACCAAGCATCCTGGTTACTGGATGGTATTCTCTTATCACTGGTGCGGAGCCTCGCAAATTACGAACTCATAGCGTACTCAGTAACTCAATAACTTCTGACCTTGATGCGCCTATCCTGCTTTTGAAATTTGTCCCAACTGTCAGTGCAGACGTCGTACTACTAGTACCTTCCATTTTGAGTCCAGAGATAGCTTTAGCTTTCCTTGAGGACTAAGAGCTATTCTCAGAAGATTAAACAATCAAAACTATTCTGTTTCAATTTGAATTCGGTGGCAGTGAACTACAAACGGTTCACCCGTTAGAGTTGTATTCACCTTCTTGTAGGCAATTGGAAGCACTGAATTTTCTGTTTCTTTTCACATCTTGAAGTCACTGGCATATAGTTGGCGGCGAACGCAGACAGAACAGTTAGCTAATTTTTAAGCAGTGACAGGCCACTTCATAAACACTTAACTAACGTAACCCTCAGTTACATTTTCCCATTCTCTCATCATGGATGATACTATTCAGATAGTATTGCGCTTAGAAACAGCGCTTTTACAGCCATTATACTATGTCTAAGTCCCTTCAAGATACTGAAAAATAACAGGAGACCAAAATGTATGGAAACCCTTTGCAACACTTCTTCTGCTCTTTCATGCTACTAGTAGGTTATTGATGCTCAAGCCATTTTGAGACTCAAATTGAAGTTCAGACGTAGACAAGGCAAGAATGATTCCGTTGTTTCTCTAAATATTATCTTAACAAGAGATCCGTATGAGATTACTGACCACCACTCAGTGTTTTGTGTAGAATGCAAGTGACTGCTTCTGGTTCATAGGCCTGCTGTGAACTTAGGTGCATCTTTACAAAGGCCATCGATTATCCCAGATTAACGCCTGTTCCAGAGGTTCACGACTGAGACCAAAACAAGAAAATAAGTGCGGACGAATCTGTTCATCTCTTCGGTGGCCTGTAAATACAGTGTTTAAAGTATTTTTATAGTAGAGAAAAATAGCCAGGACACTATTTTAGCCGCCAGTTAGCTTCTGAACCCATTAGAAGACTAATTATCCAGTAGTAAACTTTCTTTTAAATGTTTGTGTTTTCATTAAGTTCACTTCTGCAAGGCGGTGAGGCTGTGGAAGGTCGTTGTGAGCAAAAATCATAGGACTTCTGCATGTCCTTCTACCATACGCAATGCTTGTTGTGACTGACTACTTTGTAGAACGACATTGGGTCTAAACAATTCAGAATCACTCGAAAATACATCGAAGAAACCTAGAGGATGAGCATTTAAATTCTGGATAACAAAAGAATAAATAGATCTACAATTTGTCGCAGAACACTCGGCCACACCCACGAATCAATCTGAAATTCAGGTGTCAAGGGTGGATAAAGGTAATATATGCGTGAGAAGGACTCTTAAAAACCCATTTTTTCGATAGCTAGTCAGAGCAAAATGAGAAACTTAAGGGAGGGATGAAAAGCCTTTAGAGAACAGTAATATAAAGGCCCTGGGGAAAATTTGAGGAAACGCCACAATAAGTCCTCATTCGACCCAGTCTGTGTGCCTCCCAAAAGTCTCCTCAAAGTTAAATGTGCATCTTTAGAATTACCTCGGACCTGTACATGCTTTCACCGCATTTTCTCAAACATATGCATGTTTCTTCAGGATATCTCCATAATCATGTCTTTCCTCGTAATTTTTCAAATACTTCCACGTACTTCGGGGAAACGCTTCTCAGCTAGCCTAAACTTCATAAAACTGGGTACCTTTCTCTTGACTACATGCTTAGTGGAACCTTTCTATAAAGATGTACTCTATGGATATTGACTGACAGAATGTATAACGCACCCTAGTCTTCCACATAATTTCCCGAAAATGATCTGACTTGGTATAAACATCATCCTTATTCAACTCCCTGTCATTCTACATAGAAAAGCCAAGCATTTAATAAGACGCAAATGGCGACAGTCACTGCATTCATCCGACTATGTTGAACAGAATAATTTTTAAACCCTTAAAATATCAGTTGTCTTCGACGTGAATTACTTACGCTAATGTCATGAGACAACTACACAACTTTCGCCGACGAACAAAGCTAAAATCACGTCTTATGAATGCACTATATCTTAAAAATTGACTAACTTATTCTCTTTAAAGCCGCCCTCATAACAGGACCCGGATGAAAACTCTACTCTTCCATAGCCCTCAATGATGTCATCAACCCAATCTCCAGTGTAGCACCCTTGATGCATTCCTGATTCGCCAAATAAATCAGTCAGCATTGAGGCATCAAATTCCTTTTTATTTTTACAGTCAAAAATGAACCTCTGCAGGTGTTCAGATGACTGGATCAAGCAACCTTCATTCGCCACATCTAATATTCTCTTTCGGAAACTTCCTATGAATTTTCCTTTCCCGTGACGTTTGATTCCCGACTCTCCAGTAACATACTCCCCTTCATAATAATCTCCATTAGGGAAAACGAACTGGCTTGACAGCTTTTCGTTCTTGGTCATTTTGAATTTGTGAGACGCTTCAGTATCTACTTGTTTGCTGAACTAAACAAGTTTGCTCATTATCCAATATACATTATTTCTTTCAGGACCTCCTGTACAGCGAGTGATTTTTTTGCACTATGCAGGGTGGTTTCAGGTTAATACTCAAGTTTAATGCAATAAGTATAGCAACTTACGCACTGTAGCTCCTGTAGACCTAGTTTGTGGGTATTGCTTAAATTTGTAAGATGTGTGATTTGTCCTGAGGTTGTTGCACAGATGAGACCTTCAGATGTCATGTCATCAGGCAGTTGCTCAGGGTGCTCGTGAAAGAAAAGTGAGGAGATTCTGGGGACAACCGAAGGGAGCAAGGAAGAGGGAAAAGGTAGGGCAAAGAAATGAAAAATAAAACTTTTGGTAAATCTAAAAGGAAGATGACAGTGTTATATCGAATTTAACTGAACAAGGTTGAGCAAAAGAAAGTGAGAGGGGCGATGAGCATGTAAGACTAACTTAGGAGCAATAGAAACAGGAATAGTAAGGAAACCGCAACTGGTGATGTGTGACCTCCATTAGGAGCGTAAAAATTTATGGCAAGACCGTCGTAACGGTGGCGACTTAAGGGGGTCATCAGAAGGCGGCGCAAAGCACCGGACTGATGCGATGCCAGAAAGTTACCTCAGCTGATCCCTCATCCTGAACGGATCAGCACGACCTGTGTCACTGCGCAGCTGTTCAACTGTTGGTTGAGGTGGTCGGCAGATAAACCGGTGGTTACCTCAGCAACTGACGAATTCGTGACTGAAAATTGGGAGAGAGAATTATGTTCTTGGTTAGGAATTCCTCCTTCAAAAGGCGAACTTTTTTGGGTTTTCGCAGGATTGGGTTGGTGATAATCATTTGATATCCTTCTATTCGGGTCACTTAGACTAGCTAGTGTCTCGAAATTTGCCAACGATTCGCTGCATATTTCGGCGTGACCGAGAGAATAAAGACCTTGATCCTCCTATCTATCCTGGTCTGACCCTAGTTGCACCCTCATAGCGTCCTTTGTTGCCCGTCTCTGCGTGCCTTCGGGAGAATTATGTATCTTATCACCTGTGGTGGCGCTGCAACCTTGTTGGCCTCCATGTTAGGTCATTTCTAGGTCTTCGAAGTGGAGATTGAGAGAAATGACTAACTAGGGAGGGACCCATGAAAACGTATTTTATGTTATCATTCCTTTCGTTAGACACGGTGGATCAGTTAATCGATAGGATTTCTTCAATTACTGAACTACCTATATTTCAGCTGCGTTCTCCTTCGCTGTGATCTTCGGTCTTTTGACCCCAATATACGTTCCCACACGTCCATCGCGTCTTCTTCATTATTCAGTCGGGTCAGGAATCAGCCAGGAAGTTGTTGAACGTTAGTGGCTGACGCTCAATACTTGTGAATTGTGAATAGCCGTTCCACTTAGCAATTTTTTGGAATAATAACAGCCTTGGAAATCCCGAGAAGGAGCTCTGATGTGAGAGTACTTAGCTATCCACGAGGAGCTATCCTTGAGACATTTTGAACTAGTGTCCAGGTTACAAGTCAATGTTAGGCCTAGACACTCTTCCATGGTTGTGTGTTGAAAGCGCGTATCACGGAGAGTGATATACTTCCTGTGAATCAGAAGTGTGGAAAAACACTGTCTAGGATTTATTCAAGTCGGATGGCAGTAGAGGTGAAGGCAATACCCCTGCCATGACGATCCTTCGCTAACAACCAGATCGGACGAATGTTTACTACTGAATATGCAGGCACAGACCATTTTCACAGGTTTGAATATATATATGTATATGTATATATATATTACGTTTATCTTTAAGGCGGAGAATCTCACTCCTCACCTACTCTGCCACTACCAGATAGAAGTGCTCCACGCTCATAAAGTTAAATATCCTAGCAGAATAGGCAAGCGGGAACAAAAGGTTTGATAAGTGGAGGCACTGTCTTTTCGTGAACAAACCACAGGAATTTTGCTTGAACACTGGCTGTATCACCTGGAGAAAAACAAAGCATGAAGCTAACGCTTCCACTGTTACACCTCGCACATTTTGCTCAAGAATAACGATGCAAGGTTCGTGAGGGAATATATGCAGGATATTTATTTATCGTACCTCACCGATGATTCGAGAACTGTAGAATTCATGTATGTCCGCATCAGCTCACATCGGGGATCCATAACCTTGCCGAATATTACGACGGTCAGCCAAGTACCTGCATTTTTAAACCCCAGCATCCAGATTTACCAAGTTTTTTGAACGCACCGAGTGGACTTCAAGACCATCTTCTTCGCCATTTTCACGGGTCGTGACAGCTTTCTGGTCAGTAAGTGTTGGACTTTCCTGGTCACTTACATGACTAATAAATCCAAGGTTTTGATAATTAATCAGTTCAGTGAACTTTCCTCGTTGTTTACTGTTGCTTGAATTATTGAAGGAATTCTTCAGATAGCTCGACTCCACAGTTTTCCGACTTTCTTAAAAGTTCCACAGTAAATACACCTGCCTACCAAAACCCTAAACACTACCATACACGAAAAGTCAGCCATGATAACTGGTTAAAGGTTTCTGGAGGGTCACATGGGCAGCAAAAACCTCTACAACCAATCAAATCCTGGGCAGCAACTCACCCATTTACCCTAAATGCAACATATTCGCAAACAAACAGCGAAGATAGGGGCGACGCCTAGCTGCTATTATTGTTCTTTAACTATCCGGTCTAGCACTCTCATGATGCAGTCTCTGCTGCCAAGAAGAGTCTGAACCTGTACTTCCCCTACGTCAAGCGGTGGTTAACGGGAAGGTTATCTAATTTTGGTGTCTTCTCTTTTCACTTTCAACGGAAGTCATCGGCTTTTCATGCAACGCAACATTTTCTATGGCACTTGGCAGGTTCATACTAAACTCCTGGCCTGGTGCTACGATATCTTCCCCTAAGTTTAGAGTTGAGATTTAAAATCTCTGGCTATGATACTTTGGTTGTCCACCAAAAACTTGATATTGTAGACTAAAGTTAGCATGGTTATTGGTTAACTCTTCCTACCTGGTGCCAAATGTGTCCACTGGTGAAGTGGAACCAGATTGAGACTAAGAGCTCTACCAGCCCATTGTCTATTGGGCGTTCTTCCTGCCCGAGCAACCCGATTCGCTGCCGCTCCACCTCCTCCCTGCTTGTGTTCGCCGTGTTTCCCGTCCAAAGCCAAACCACCTGCACTCAATTAGACGTCATCAATTACTATTTTTGGAGCTCGGTGGAAACAGGTTGATCTTAATCCCACTGTTTTATCCTGGTACCCTGACATTCGTGTGAAGGTTCCTGAGGTTGCTTCTTATAACGCTGTATGTTCCGGTGGTAGCTGACGGTGGAACGTTTCTCCTGGCAGTGAGGCGGGTGCTATTACTATCCTACTGAAACCAGCGTAGTGAGGTTTCCTTGGTCATTATTAATTCAGGGCTGCCTAACCGGTTCCCATCGTGTCCGTGTGCATTACTGGTGGTTTGTGCATGCATTTGTCGCCGCCTTCAAACCGCTTATTGCACTGATCACTCGCGGAATGTTGCTGACCATCTTCTTGGTGCGACACTCTCTGAAAATAATGTGAGAGAGCTGTATCTAGGCAGTAATTACTGGAGGGTTTCTTGCAGCCCCCGAACGGGCATCTGCCTGGGGATGGAGCCACATAACATAATGAGTAAGCATACCAGAGCCACATTTGTGGGTGGCTCACCACAAAACCACAACACCGATCCACTTCATCCAAAATCTATCTTATTAGCTGGTGTAAACCGACCGACTTTTTCATTCTACTTCTAGTCTCAGTTTTCAGTCTTCACTCTCCGGATCTTAGTGACCGAAGCAACAAATCGATTGATCTACATTAGCCTGTATTTCTATTTGGGTATGGTTAAACGTTTCCGGGCATACAACTGTTCTGCTAGGTCACATGTATCAGCCTTCAAACCACAGTATTAGGTTGCCGAGTGAAATAAATGGAGTCCTTCGCCATAATAATAACCATTTGTCATATAGGTTCTTAGGGGAGCGTAGGGCCTCACAAACAATCTTTTGAACCTGGCTTCACGACAGCCCACAAGCTCTCATTTCCTTCTCGCACGATCTCCTTAATGCCACTCTTACCTCGGAAGCCAGACTCGTCGCTTCCCATGAGGGTTCCACTCGAGGGCCTGGCGGGTGATGTCCCCAGTCGGCCTTCTCACCGTGTGCCCAATCCATCTTCACTTCCTTCCAGTGCATGCTTATTGAGCGGTGGGTTCTTGGTTGGTTCGTTGCCCGGCCAGAGTTCCTTGCTGCACGTTCTTACTATTCTGGCCATCTGATCTTCATCGACGGGCGTAAGCAGTTGTTGATGAATATCTGTAGTTTGTTAGAAATCTTTTTCGTAACGCGCCGAGTCTCTGAACCACAAAGGAGCACTGGCTTGACGTTGGTGTTGAGAATCCGGATCCTGTTCCACATGCTGAGTGCAGATCTCCATGATGGTTTCAGGCTAATGAACATCTGTCTTGCTCTTCCGATTCTGACTTTGACACTCTCGTCTGTGCCACCTGTAGTTGAAACGATGCTTACCAGGCAGATGGGTGAAGGAGGCTGCTTCCTTTAAGTTTCTCCCGTTGGCGGTGATTGGTGCTTGTTGTTGTTGTTGGTAGTGTTGGTTGGGTATCTTCACTTGAAGTCCCGTCTTCGCCGCCTCGCCTCTTCTGTCAACTTGTTAGTTTTTGCCTGCGGATCTTCAC